CCTCCATGTCGCCCATGTACTTGATCTCCTCCTCCCTGCCGGCCCGCGCCATCTTCGCGTCCAGCAGCTGGCCCGAGATATTATCGCGGAACTCCTCGTACTCCTCCATGTCCCAGTTCACGGCGTCCTCCTCGCAGGTAACGCCCACGGTGAACGCGCTCAGGTCGCCGTTGACCCTCAGCTGGGCCGTCAGGCCCCTGAGGATTGCCGCCACTAGGGCCGGCGGGTAGTTCTGCGCCGGTCGCGTCTTCGCGCTGCCAACCAGCGGTGCATGAGCATGCCACTGGCTCCTGGGCAGACTCTCGTTCTCGCACTGACGGGATACCTCAGCAAAGATACACGGTGAGTTGCTCAGCCAGCCGGTGGGCTTGAGGACCAGCCCCATCTCGCCGTCGTAGTCGACCGTCTGCTGGCCGAAGCAGCATTGGTGCCCCGTCACGCGTGAGACACCCTCCATCTCCATCAGCTCGACCATGAAGTCTAGCTTCCAACTCCAAGCTTGATCAGGATGTTCGTGCAGGAAGTAGCGTCCTTCTCGCACCTGCTTCTTGTACTGCCTCACGCAGATCCGAAGGTGCCTGATGCCCTCGATGACCTTCCGCTCGTACTCCTCCGGGTCGCGGTCCTTGTTCAGGTTCATGATGGCGCTGAACGCCCTGCACATCGGCGACCCAATCAGGACGCACGGCTTCTCGTAGTCGATGATCTTCTCGCGCAGCGCCTGTCGGTCGGGGTCCGACAGATCCCACTGCACTCCCTTCTCGTCCTTCAGGCGCAGGTCGAACACGTGCCCCGGGTTGAGGCCGAACAGCTCCGCCCTGCTGGTGAACTTGCCCGGCCCGAACAGCTCCGACACGCGCGCGCCGAAGAAACCCAGACCCTTCGCGAGGTCCTCGACCTCCCCCAACAGGTTGGCGTCCATGGTCCCCTCCACGCCTTGCGGCCCTTGGCTCTCAGCTAGCCGCTTCAAGGTCGTCCTCGAGCTCTCGTCCATCGCCTCCTGCGGTCCTGGTGTCACCTGGGTCTCGGCCTGCCTCTTCACGCCCGAGCCTGAGCCCCTTGGTGAAGATCTCTCCTCCGAGCGCAGCGTGGACCAGCGCGCTCGATACCGAAATATCTTGACCAGGCTTAGCAGGTTGAGCTTGCCCAGCTGCCGCCCCGGCTGCGGCCAGTCTAGCAGCCGAAGAGGACGCACTGCCGCTGCCTCCTCTGGTTGCCTCCTCCACGTCGACCGCCTGCTTCTCAGCCGGCCTCTTGATTCCTTGCCGTTCCTCGGCCATCCTCACTCGCTTCCTCATCTCGAAGTCATCCTCCATGAGCTTCGTGATCCTCGCCCTGCAGGCCTCGCTGTGGCTGCGAGCTGGGAAGCCCAGGGCGTAGCTCTCGCATCCGATGCACCCCTCGGTCTTCCCGAACTTCTTGATCTCCACCTCGTTGCGGATGTGCACCCGCCTCGGTCCAGGAACTCCTCCTGCACCCGTCCCCGGCCTTAGTGCCCGCGGCTCGACTGGTAGAGGCGCCTCGTCGGACGCCTTCGCGATCGGGAATCGCGCCGCCGGTGCGTCCTCCCCGTCCTTGGTCACACCTGGCACTGGCCGCCATGGTGTGCCCTGCAGCTTCTTCAGCAGCTCGACATTGTAGCGGTCGTCTCCGGCCTTCCGCTTGACAGCCCTGGCCCTGACCACTCCCGACTCCAAGCCGATGTACAGCTCCTGGCTCTTCAGCTGCACGCCCAGGTAGATGCCCGTCAACCACTTGGCGTCCAGCTTGTTCTTGTGGCCCCTGTTCCTGTCCGCCGGCAGGTAGTGCGCCGTCTCGGCGAACGGCGGGAGCTCCTTGCGGTACCTCTTCCCGCGGATCCTCTCGCACGCCGTGCGTCCGTCCGCCCCGACGTCGAACAGGCTGATCACCGCGTCTGCGTAGTTGATGAGCTACGGCACGATAGCATGGTCGTGGCCGATCTTGATCCCATACTGACGCTCCACCGCCAGCTTCAGGGTCCGCACGATACCACTCACAGACTGCACCGCCCGCTCGATCGCGCCGTTAGCCTGGTGCTCCTCCACCGGGCTCTCCTCCTTCACGATCTTGAAGGTCTCACCCAGCGCCTCGATGACCTTGCTCTTCAGGTCCAGGATCGAAGGCTCCTGGTCACTCTTGAAGATGAAGTGCTTCGCCCCCGTGTACTCGATGGCCTCCGCCACCCACTTGATAATCCAGGCATCCTTCGTGCCCTTACTCGTCGCGGCGATCGATGCTGTCCATCGCCCCTTGTGCTCACCCATCACCAGCGTGGGCTCTGCTCGCTCGTCGTCTCCACCGAAGAACGTGTAGTCAATGGAGATCGTGTTGACTAGATGCTCTCGCTCGGCGCCCAGTCGTCGACGGTCGGCATTGCGGCCGCGTCCTCCCACGCAGTCCCCGCACCATGCCCTGAACTGCACGTGCCCCGCCGCCTCGCGCACCTCCCGCCCGACCATCGTCGGTTCGAGCGGCCGCGGCGCCACCGTGACCGGTGGGTCGCCCATGTCGTCGTCCTCCTCGTCCTCCATTGGAGGGTGAAAGAGGGGGTCTGCAACAGGGGGTCTTCGATGGGGGCTGAATGGCCCATGTATGCTCAATGTATCGCTCATGTATGTGAACGGGTACGATTGGCATCCAATGTTGGCGGTCATTGAGGGCCAGTCGTTCGTGCCCGCGCGTTGCCCGCGCGGGCACACGCGCCGCCCATCCATTATCGTTCATGCGTGCGGGGGTTCTTGCATATTGCGCGTGGGGCAGCGAAGTGGAGTGCAAGTGTGTCTTGATTGTGCGATTGATGATCGTGTATGTTCCCAAACAATGACTTCTCGACCCCCAAGACAGATTTGGAATGGGGCCCACTTTTCCCCCAAAATGTGAATTCGCATTTTCCTTTATCCCAAAATGTGAATTCACTTTTTCCTTTTTCCCAAAATGTGAATTCACATGCCGCCCCCTTTCATAAAGAATCCTACACACAATTCCAAAATGTGAATTCACATTTTCCTTTTTTCCAAAATGTGAATTCGCATTTTCCTTTTTCCCAAAATGTGAACTCACATGTTGCTTCCCCCCACAATGTGAATTCACATTTTGCCCTGGCCTTCAAGATCCCCAACGCTGAGGCGTTTTGTTCCGCATGTCAGATTGGCTGGGCAGATTTCGACACTCACCTGACCGCTTTCGCGTGTTCCAGCCTTCTCTTTTTGCGCCCTCAGCGCGCGTTGCCTTCGTCGCCTTTCCCGAGCCCCCCGCCCCCATTGCTTCCTTTCCTTTCAAGTATCGCGCATGGGTGCAAGCGGGGGGCTTCCATTAGTTCCCCCGCCGACCGCGACAATCGAGGACGCATCGCCCATTCATGGCCCATGAAGACATCATTGCCGGGACCCTGCGGCCGACCCCCACTTTCACCCCCCAACTCCAGCGTGGGCTCCACGGGTTCCGCCGCCGCCGGCGCTGCCGCTGAGCTTCCGCCTTCTCGCCGAGGAGGGTCTCGGCGTTCGGTCTTGCGGCTGAGCCCGCCGACTGCCCCCCGACATCGCGCCGATGTCTGGGGCGTTCCTCTCCTGGCCGCTGACGCTCTTCAGCTTGAGGGTGTAGACTCCGCGTCGGAGGTGGATCGGCAGCCTCCTGCCGGTCGCGAGGTGCCTCAGGTAGCACTCCTTCGGCCCGAAGTAGACCTCGTGGCCCTTCGCCACCAGCTTCGACACCGCCAGCGGCATGCGGTGCACTCCGCTCGACGTGCACCTGAGCCGCCTTGTGCTGCCGTCCTCCGTCATGACCTCGATGACCTTCTCGCCTTCGCCCCGCGCCATCTGTCCGTTGGCCGCTCGGCAACTCGCGCCCATCTCGCTGGATACGGTCGGCCTCGCCCGCACGTCCGTGAACCAGGTGTTCGGGGCAACGCTCTCCGCCGCCCCGGAATCCACTGCCGCATGGAGGTGTTCTTCCGTCGCGTTGCCCACCGCGTTCAGCTCCAGGGTGCACAGGTCCAGCCCGCCGAGGTTGCCAAGCTGCTCGGTCTCCGGCTCCTGCTTGTCGTTCGCCCTCAGGCTGTTGGCACCGCGTTGTCCTGTTTGCTGTCCACGATTCGTGGGGCAGTCCTGCCGCTTGTGTCCCCAGCCCCAGCGCAGCGAGCAGTATCCTTGGAATCCCTGCTGTTGTTGCTGTTGCTGGCCTTGCTGTCCACCTGGTCGCTGCCGAGGCGGGTAGGGCGAAGACGGCTTGCCCTTGGTCTTCTCCTTGCCTTTGCTCTTGCCCTTGACGCCCTTGCTGTCGCCCTTGCCCTTGCCCTTCGGGTTCTGGGTGCCCTTGTGTGCACCTCCACCTGGCAGCCAGCAGTCGATCTTCTCGTGGCCTTTCTTGCCGCAGTTGTTGCAGGTGATGTCCTTCTGGTGGGGGCTGCCGACGTCCATGGGGGTCGCATTGTCGTTCACCTTCGACTCCAAGTAGCTTTGGATCTTCTCGCGCACACTCACGTACGTCTTGAGCTTGTTCGCGTTGAGCACCAGGTGGTCCTTGAGCACGCCCTTTGTCATGCTCACGAGCACCTGCGCTTTGATGTCCTCCTGCATCGCATGGCCGGCCCGCCTCTCGTAGACGCGGACCCGCTCCTCCCACTTGGCGATGTGGCTGTTCAGCTGCGGGGCGTCGACCGCTCCCGGTTGAATTAGCGAGCCCAGGATGTTGCGCTTCCTGCCAGCTCCCTGTGGGTCGAACCTCCTCGATATCACACGCCAAGCTTCGAACCCGTCGTTGTCTTTCGTCGCCTGCACTAGATCCAGAGCCTCGCCATCGCAGAGCT